CTCTCTGAGTTTGACACCTGATGCAAACATCACCATCAGCACTGAGCTGCAACCACACTCAGCACTCCTGTGTCCCCACAGGACTGCTGGCTCTGCAAGCACAGGGATCGGGTCTGTGTCATCCCATGACTATGGTCTAGGTGCTTGGTACAAGTCTGTATCAACTAAGGCTCTGTGTGACTCTGGTCTGTGCATGCCCCAGTGCTGGCCACACAAGGGCTGATAGAGTCCTGTCTGGGCAGCTCATTCACTGTCTTTCCTTGCCGTCCTCTGCTCAGCCCTGATGGGAGGCAGGTCTCCCAGCACACCACACAATGAGTGGGGTGCAAAGGCCAGGCCCCAGAGTCATCTCAGCCATTCCCTCCATGGTCTGAAAAGCCCAGAACCCATCCCAGAGGCTCCAGCCCAGTTATCAGATGTCCCCAGGGAAAAATGATGCTCAGTTCCTGTCCTGACACGAACATCTCCTCTCCTGTCCAGTCAGGACAGCCTGCCTTCACTGGCTGACCCGAGCTTAGTGCTAACGCAGCAGTGGCTGTGTCCCATGCCCTGTGAGCCACGAGCAGACAGCATGCCGACCCTGGAGGCATCCTAGCAGGTGTGTCCACAGGCCTGGGGGCAGGAGCGAGAGCAAGAACAGGCAGGGATGAAGTGTCTTCCGTCCAAGTTCCTGATTCAGTTGGTCCTCAGCCAAGACCAACTCCAGACCCTACAGCCACAAAGTCCCCCTCGGTGAATCTCCTGGGGAAGCCCTCAGGGGCCCCATTCCAGCTGCACCTTTGACAGAGGGTCACCTCAGACTCAGGGTGGAGTCTCTGGAGACTTTGGGACACAGCCGCTGCAGGATGAAGCCCCAAAGTCTGATGCTCCGGGACAATTCCGAGTCAGCCTGGCCACTCCCCTGCACAGGGAAGGTGACAGGCCTGCATGTGTAGAGGGCTTTAGAGATACCCACCTCCTGCTACCATCACACCCACGGGCACGTTCACTCTTCACCTCTGCTCCAACCGGAGACGCGAGGTGCAGCCGTGACCCAGGGCAAGCAGAATGCTGAGCTGCTCTTGTCTGCAGCTTGCCACTGTGGCCATGACAGCCAAGGGACACCCATGAACCAGAACCCCCGAAGGCCGTGGGGAGGCATCTGTGCCACGAGGCATCTAGCCAGTGGCTCCCCAGCCGGCCCCTCCCGCTCACGTGGTCCTAATGCCTCCCCTCCCCCATGGCTCTGAGATGGCCTGAAGAAGTAACAGACACAGTCGGCATGTGCCTTCTTCAGGCCATTTCAGAGCCACCAGGCACTGTGAGGTCCCCTCACTCATGGAACAGCCCACACCCTACGGGAAGCCATTACTGACTTACTCCTTATCCCTCCCAACATAGACCAGCCATCTGTGACAGGTGACAGACACCGAGGGGGACAGAGTGCTCAGGCCACTTGGACTGGGGGCGGGGGGCGGCGTGAGGATTCTGCAGGCACTCAGAGAGGACTGAGACCCTCCCTGCCCCAGCAGCCTGGGACCTGGCCTCTAGAAGGGAGACGAGCCCCAGCAGGGTTGCGTCTTGGATAAAAGGCAGCACTGGTGTTTGATCCCCCACTGGTCCCTCCCACCAACCGCTGCATGAAATAAGTCACCTCTGAGCGACAGCCTACTTGTGCTTTTGACATGTTATCCATTTTTATTTAAAAACATGCTAAAAACATGGTGTTCATCAAAGCCAGGACCAGGATGGAGGAAACACACAGATACAGCATCGTAAGCAGAAAAGAGCATGTGGAACCAGCAAGTCCGTCCTCCCTGCTCTCCCAAGAGGCACCGGTGAGGGAGGCGCCCAAGGCCTTGCCTCCCGAGTGCCCATTCGGGGCAGGGAGGCCGGACCTACCTTGGACTACGCCTCACTGTGGTGGAGAGAAGGAAGCTGGGAGAACAGAAGCACAGGAGGTGCCGGCCAGACCCTGCAGGGCTGAGGGAGAAAGAACGGACCCCAAGCACCTGGCACCCAGCTCCCTTCCTATGCCACGTCCCTGCTAGTTAGCACCTCCACCAGTGGGTGGGCAGGGGGCTGGAGAGGAGGGGACAGTCTCTTCCATCCACCTGGACTGCTCTCGGGCCACCGAAGCCTGGAGCAGCAGCCACCAAGTTCCAAGTCAGGACATGGAGGAGTGGGGGGAGGTCCACAACCTTTCCAGCATGAGAGCTCTAGACGCAGGCTTGTGTTGGCAGGGAGAGGGGGTGGCAATGCTCCCGCGTGGGGGGCGTGCACCCAGACACCTGCTGCCCGCCACCCGAGGGCAGTGCTCAGCCCCCTGCAAGCTGGTTACAGGGAGAAAGGCCGCGTGTATGTCAGATGCTCACCTGAAGTCGTCTACAAACCCTACAGGCCTCCCTGAGTCAAGTCTGGAAACTGCTTACATCAGACCTGACTGAACTAACTCAGAGTTTGGCAAGGGAAGCCCAAGTGAGGACACTCACTCAGAGTTCTGCCCCAATGAGATCACCGTCAGGAGAAACAGAAAACTGAGCCACCTTCATGGGCATCCATCGGTGTGGCCTTGTGGGTGTGTGGGGACCATTCCACAGGATGGACAGGGGGCTTGAAGCACACTCACCCTGTGCACGGAGACTTCCGCCCAATGTAGACTCAGCCCAGTGACTAAGAGCCAAGCACAGTGCAGGGCAGAAAGGCCATGTGGGGCTTGTGGCCAAGGCTCTGCAAACAGACGATGAGGTGGGGCTGGGGAGAGAGGACTGTGGCAAAGGCTCTGGGGGCAGAGGACACCCCCGTAGCACTCCAGAAACGTCTAAGGTTGCCAGGGAAGCTATACAATTCCCAATGCACTAGGCTTTTCTGTTGATACTAACAAAAATCTTGAATTGCATTGATAGGCATAAACAAATCCATCCCTCCCCCACCCACAGCAAAAACTCACAATGCACCAGGTCCTACTGGGCAACCTGAACACTTGTTTGCGGCGTGTCACTCTGCACTCTGTTTTGGGATTCCCGGGGAGGCGGCTGGAGCTCCTTACCAGGAAGACAGGCCAGAGCACGAGGGAAGGCACCTCTGTGTTCCTCCACCCCAGGCCCCGCCCTCCCGGCATTTCCCATCAGCACCTGCTCCTGTCCTGGGGAGGTGGTCTTTGCCCCACTTGCTGAGCCCACTCTGCTTTCCACTCCTATCCCCCAAAAACACAAATCCTGAATGCACCAAACGTTCTGTACTCCTGGTCCCGATTTCTACATTACTTAAGCTGAATGGAGGAGTTGCTGGTTGGCTGGGAGGCCATATCTCAGCTCTTAGAACAGACGGGCAGGTGGAGGCTAGAGAAGAGACCTGGCCCTAGTGGGAAATCGAGGTGACGAGCCAAATAGTGCAGGGTAAAGGCAGCCATCCCACACAGGCCCCATCCACGGAAGGGCACTGGAGCAAGTTTACCAGGGGCAGCCTCTTCAAGCTCCGTCCCACAGATGCTTGATTTTTTTTCCTAACTGCAGAACATTAAGCCAGACCAGCATCCGTTCTGGCGGGCACGTCCTGCTGCAGGTGAACACTCGCTCGCCGGTTCATCTCACACACCCGGTCTGCACATGACTCAGGCTGCCTTCCTTCTGGGGCCACTGTCACAAGATCCAGTCTGGCCTCGTTCAGGTTTTCTGTATGGCTTCTTGGGATCACACGGGATGTGATCACTGTCCACTCCACTGCTGCTACAAGTGAGCCCCAGGAAGGAGGCGAGGCTCCTGGGCCCCGGAGGGCCATCCTTCCTTCCCTCCCTCCCGGCACAGCAAGCAGCACTGAGGATGCCAGGTAGGGACGACCAGGGGCGCCAGATCCGCCTCCCCTTCCTGACGGCCACGGGTGCTCTGCCACTGTCTGAGCAGCAAACTGTAAGGACTGCTTCCCCTTCCAGAAGCAGGGTGAGAAAGTAAGCAGCATTTGAACTGGAGAGGTATTTGAGAGTTCTGGCAGGAATGTCTGTGAAAGTGACTGGGGTTTGCAGAACCTGTAGCAGGAACGCCCACGTGGGGTGGAAGAGGAAGCCGGAGGAAGGAAGGAGGAGAAACTCAAAGCTGCTCAGCAGTGAAAAGTGAGGACCCTGCCAGCTCTGGCTGCATTCCTGGCAAAGTGCTCCACCGGCCCCCCCACAGCCCCCTGGCTGCCCTGGCCTCTCTCACTTAGTTGGCAAACACCATCGCCCTGTGCAAGGGGGCTCTGTGGGCTTGCTCCGTGCTTCTCCATGCCCCCTGCCTCTCCCGGGCTCCTGTCCACAGACGCCAGGTCTGGCGGGGCCCCGCAGCCCAGCCATGCTCCCTCCTTCTCTGCAGCCCAGCAAAGCCTGGCCCGTGTCCTCCCCCATGAGGGTCACAGTGGATCGTCCTGACCGCCACAGGATGGATGTCCTCTCTCCCCACCTGTCACCCACCCTCGGGAAAACATCAAACCATTAAAGAAATCAACACGGTAAAAAGTTACAAATCAGAAAGCTAACCCTAAACTTATCTGAGAGATAATATTCCTGAATAATCATACAGTAAAATGAAATAAAAAAGTTACACTGTAAGGTATAAAAAGCCTGGGCAAGATGCTCCTGAGGCCTTGCCTGGAGGCAGCCAGACTGCCCCCACCAGCGCTCCCCCAGGTGCTGGAACAGTCTCTCTATGAGGGGTGGGTAGCACTCTGTGCCCCACCCAACGTGGGGCAGGATGAAGCGTCAGTGTAAGGAAAGGCAGGGGGCAGAAATCCTTCAGTGCTGCGGGCTCCTTCTGGAGTGCGTCCCCCAGCCCGCTCCAGCGTCTTTGGCAAATACACAGGTACAGATGCAGGAATCCAGGTGCCGGGTGCCCGGCCTCTGCCCACCGGAAGTCTGAGGCCGAGGTGGGTGGGCAGGGGCCAGCTGGGGGAGGCAGGTGCAGGGTCACAGTCTAGAGTGCGGCAGGCAACACAAAGCTCAGGTCCTCCCCCCTCACGCAGAGGGTCCAGGTGGGGGCCGGCGCTCCCAGGCAGCCCGTCACGCATCGTACTTTTTACCAGTCCGGTGGATGTGCTGGAAGAGCGTCATGGAGAAGGCCATGCCCAGGATCTGAAAGACACGGTTGGGGAGAGCCTTAGAGGGAGGCTCTCGCAGCCTGGGTCTGATCTTGGCCTCGCAAGCCCTGGGCATGTCACAGGGCACCCAGAGCAAGCGGATGTGACACTGCTGTGCTGCAAGAATGCCTGTGGGACGATGAAAACATGCAGAGGTTCAGGTGGACTGCGGCTCAGCCCTGTGGAGCTGTCTGTATGGAATGCCACCGCATCTCTCCAAGGCTCGCCAGCACGCCTGTTTCAGAGGGCTGTTGTGAGGACCGGTGCATGGAGGCCCTGGCCCTAATGAGAGCTAATGAGAGTGGCAGAAGAAGGCGGCGGGGTGATCAGAAACTCACGCCGACTCGCTCCTGTGTGGCTTTGTAACGCGTGAGGGGAGGTCTTTGGTCACAGCAGATCTGTCTCACCCATGATGCTGTTTATGTCCCTCAACTCCTGAATCCTGAGAGAGGATGGGGCCCAGAGACACGCAGGACATCAGCTGTGTCCTCATAGTCAGCACAGATCGTGGGCCACATGCACAGACTGTAAAGACAGTGGCCAGGGGCACCGTGTGTGCCTTCCACGGCTCCCGCAGCTCAAGGTTTGGGCATAGCTGAAGCAGACGAGCCTGGCTCCAACATTCTGGTCTAGGCCTGGCCATGGGCAGCCCTGAGATGAGCCTGTTCTCAGTGCTGAGTGGGATCTTGCTCACTGTGAGTGCAAGAGTGTCACGACAGTGTGACAGCTCTTTGATAGATCCGATGCTGGGCCATGCACCAAGTGAATTGACTTCTCGGAGCTTCCTCTGCTCCCCCGCCCGTGTGGGCTGGGGTGACAGGATCCGGTGCCCACTTACCTGCATGATGAGGATGCACATCCCCACCGTGCCAAGCACGTGCTTGTTGTCATCAAACCACATCTTCACCTTCTCATAGCAGCCCTGGGAAGTGAGGGCCGCAAGGTCAGGTCCTCCAGCCAGCCCCACCTCACTCGCCCCCTCAGCCCCTGTCCCTCCCTGACCCCCAGCCCTGTTCCTCCTCCCTGTGAGCAGGCCCCATGCCCCCAAGGGTCCACCTACAAGGCCAGCTGCATGGCCTCGGACCCCCCCTCAACCCTCACCCTCTGACTCAACTGTAGGGCCAACCCCCATCCCCACTTTCCCCCTGCCTTTGGCTTCAGTTCCATGTGTCCCTACCCCACCCACATTCAGTCGGTTCCTTAGCGTCCTGTGCCCAGCCTCCACTATAGGTGCCCCCTTGCTGGGCTCCCCACCGCACAGGCTCTAGGGATGTGGGAACCGAGGAGCCAGCCTCACCGTTCTCCACCACAAGGGGGCGGTGGCGTTGCGCCCACAGCCCTGGGAGTTCTCCATGCAGCAGCGGTCGGGAACCGTGTTCTCCCCCAGCACTGGGTACCAGTCCGTGTAGTCGGTGACACCGCAGCAGCGCATCTGCCCAGTGGACATGGAAATGGATGGTCAGACACGCCTCGACCTGCCACATCCTCCCCCGGCCTCCCCTGCCCAGGCAGACCCCAGCCCCACAAGAGCAGCCTCCCAGGAATTGAGGGGAGGGGACAGAGGGCCTTTTTCCCGTCCCGTCTTTGAGCCTCAGCCAGACCCAGGGGGAGGTAAGTGGCCGCGCCTTCCTAGAGACCAGGCAGGAGCGCTCAGCCCGCCGCCCGCCCACCGTCGCTCCCGGCTCTGCTTCCAGGGTCATCCCAAGCTGGCTGCCGGCTGACCCGCCTGCCAGCCCCTCCCCAGGGCTTAAAGGAGTGTAATGACTTGTTTTCCTCTTAGAATCAGAGCCTCTCGCCTGAGCCAATCACGACATTGTTACACTAAATCCTGTCACTCGCCCCCAAGCCGTCGGCTCCTGCTCATCTCCCCGCTCACCAGCTCTGCCCCACTGTGCCATTCCTTCCAGCTGCCCACTCCCGGTTAAAATCAGAAAGTGCTGGTGCCACCTGTGTCACCTGGGTAGGGAGCCCCAAGCCCAGGCCGCCACCCTCTTCCCTGGCTGGCTTGCCACAGCCGCCCGGCCTCACCTCGGCCTGGATGATGTTCCAGGCGTTCTTCAGCCCCACGTTGTTCTCAGTGTTATACAGCAGCAGGCCTTCCTTCAGGTCCTTCTTGGCACTCTCGTTCACCTGCCAGGTGGAGGGCAGACACGGCAGGTGGGCTGGCACCAGGAGGCAGCCCCTCTCCCCAACCCACCCTGGTCCACTAGGACTGCTGGCGAGAGCTCTTCCAGACAGGGGGAGTGGAGGGGAGGGCGGCAGCTGGCCCAGTGGGGTGACAGTGGGGTAGGCTCTGGCTCCCCACATCAGTCTGCAGCATGCCCTGGTTCACCCCTGCCTCCCACAGAGCTAAACTCTTAGGGCCCAGGCTCTAACCCCAAGAGACAAAACTACACACCACATGCCTTCAATGTCCCCAGTCCCAGGACAGACACACACACAGGCCACTCTGCCACCTCACCCCCACCCCCATAACACCTTCCCACAAACTGCCCTTCTCAAAACACACCCTGGGAACAATAGGCTGGCAGATCCGCCATTTAGATCTTAGGTCCACCTCTTATGAGCAAGTTACTGGACCTCTCTCACCTCCGCTTTATCTGTAATGTTGGAATATTAGTGTCTACCTCACGGGGTTTTGAGAATTAAGGGAAATGATTCTTATAAAGAACCAAGAACAGGGCTGGCACAAAGAAATCTCTCAGTGTCATTATTTCTTCTCTTTCACAAATGCAAAGCTAAAGAATTATTGTTTCTAATTCCAACAATGCCTCTAACTTTCAGCCTGGCTTAGGAAGCTACTTCCAGAGCCCAGGAACAGACACCTACACAGTTCTGGGTGCAGAGCACCAAAGGGCCTGCTGAGCCTGAAGAGACTGGGCGCTGGGCCAGTCGTGCTCTGCAGTACCAGTAAGAAGATTCTCTGGTTTGACTGCAAACTGCCCAGCCCGGCCAGGTTGCCAGGCGTCACCCCCACCGTCCTCCTGAACTCGAGTGCGGCCTGAGCCCAGGAGCAGCACCCTGTCCTCGAAGGTTTCCAGAAAAGAAAACATGGCTACTCCCTGCTGTTGGCCCTACTCAGTGTCACCCAGAAAGTCCCTCCTTGTTGCTAATGGGTTACTCTTAAATCATCCTGCGCAGCCACCTAGTGAGGTCCGAATCCCTCCTGTGAGTGTGCTCGCGGCTGCTGTGCTGAGGAGCTCACTACTGCCAGAGGCCGTGCACCACCATCCCGGGGTGTCCAGAGGACTGCTCCTCCTGAGGCTGCACACAGGAGTGAACGCCCCACCCCCCAAACTCGCCCTCCCTGTGCGGCCCCCACCGAAACCTTCCGTGCGGTTCTTCCCTGGCTGGCGTTCCCGACTCTCCAGTTCCATTCTCCTCTCTTTACAGGTACTACTTGCCAGTGCTTTTCCTCTGGCCATGGAAAGGAGCTGGCTTGCCCCGGCCCCCCAAGGGCAGTGAAATCCCACGTGCCCCTCCTCCCCCAGCAGGGCTTACCTTGTCCATGTAGACGAAGAAGAGGATGAGCAAGATCAGCTCTGCCAGGAGGATGATCAACAGAACGATGAAAAACTGGAAAGAAAAGGCCCAGGCGTGGGTTCATGGTAGCAGTGATGGCCAGGGCCGGTGCAAACAAGAAGGATATGGGGGGCAGGGGACAGGCTGCACCGGGGCAGGGCTCCCAGGCCCAGGAGGGCCGGCTGCTCCTGAGGAATCTCAGACAGGGAGGAGAGGGAGGTAAAGTACACAACACATCAAGGAGTGAACAACTAGGGGCAGGGGTGACCCACCATGAGGAAGAGAGGTGTGGTCAGGCATAGAACATTCTAGAAGCAATTTCTCTGGGCTCAGGCTAGGCACCTAGTTGGCTGATGTTCCAGGCCTTGCCTGTCTCTGTGACCCAGGTGCAGGGAGACCCAGAGCTCAGGGGCTGGGGGCGTGAGGGTCCAGCTTACACTGAGCAGGAGGCACTTGTTTTCCTTGATGGCCCCCAGGCAGCCGAGGAAGCCTGTCACCATGACAATGGTGCCGATGGCAATGACCAGGTTGGCTGCAGACAGCGAGGGGAAGCTGGGGGAGAAGGTGGCAAAGTTGCCCTGGGACACGGAGAGCCAGATGCCCACTCCAAGCAGCCCGCAGCCACAGAGCTGGAGAGAAAGGAAAGCCTATTAGACCACACTGCTCCCACACTCACCTCGCAGACTCCAGAGGCTGTGCGTCCCCCATCCCGAGACACAGAAAAGGTGACAACTGGGCTACTGGCCAGCCATATGACCTAGACAAATCCCCTGGCTTCTCTGTGCCTCAGTCTCCCCGTCTGGCAAATGGGGTTAAACCAGCTTCACGAACCTGATAGGGTCACTCTGAGGATCAAATTAAATAAGCCAGAGGCAAAAGCACATAACAAATATACTGAAGGTACCAGACACACACACAAGCAGCCGAGGTTATTCCACCTGACAGAGAAGAGGCCTGGGCGCTCAGGAAGGAGGCTGGGGGCAGAAGGGGGCACTGTGGTCAGGGACAATGAGTAAGGACCTACCTCTGGGGTTGGGGTTCTCAGAGCCAGAACTTCCGGCGACTGTGTCCTGTTACCCTGACCAGAAGGGGCATTTGCTCACTGTTCTCAGGAGCCTGAAGAATGAACTTCCCACAGACAGAGGGAGAAAAGTACTTGTGGGCTGGTCGAGGGCTGGCCAGGGTGCAGGATGTGGGGCCCACGGCTGCCTTTGCCATGCATCCAGCTAAGCCAGCCTCCAGCACGGTCATCTTCTCAAGGGCACTGGGGGCTGCCGCCACCACCAGCTGCACCGGGGGACGCTGCCATTTCACTGGCTGCAACTCTCCACATCTGCCTCACCTTACGCTAGATAGAGCTGACACTCCCCTGCTCCTTCCACCAGCTCAGGGGAAGTGTGCTGAGTGCGAGGAGCCAATCAATCTGTCAACCAACATTTATTGAGTACCTACAGCATGCAGCATCCGTGCCAGGGAAGCCATAGCCACGGGGGAGACCCGCCTGCCTTCCAGGGGCCTCTGTTCTGGCTGGATGGGAGCAGTGACAGTGCAGCAGCTACCCCTTCCCTGACAGGCAGTATACACCGGTGCCAAATAAGTGCCACAGGGGTTCGTAGGAGGTGACTGCTGTCCCCGTCAGACACTGGCGTTAGCAGTCTCTAAAGGGTGGGTGGACTCGGGGCGAGTGCAGGCCGAGAACGTTCCACGCAGGGTGAGCATGTGGATGGTAGGGACTTGGAAGTCACAGACGTGGATCTGATACTCAGCTCCAGCTTGCCCTGGTGGTGTGACCTTGCAAACTTCTCTTAAGCAGAATGAGAAGGATATCTCCTTCTGACTGGATTATTGTGAGAATTTAAATAAAATAAAGTACGTGAAGCAGGCAGCCAGAACCAGGCACGCAAAGGCTTCACTCAAAGGCTCGCACTGAGCAGCTGCTACATGGAGGGACTGTGCCACCTGCTGTGACCCGTGAATTGAGCACAGCCCCTACTCTCCAGCAGCTCTCACGCCAGGGAGGAAACACAGACGTACATTCAAGTGGAGCCCACAGTCAGGTGCACCCGGGAAGGCGAGGAGAAGGGACAGAAGCTCCCCTGAGGAGATGGCATTTCCATCCCTCATTTGGTCCACAGACCCACACTGAGCACCCCATTATTAGGTTCCAGGCCCTGTTCTCAGTGCTGGGGAGACCATGTCAAACAGCACCAGCTGAGACCTGCATGCATGAGGAGTGGATTCATTCGTACAGGGGACGCAGACACTACAAAGCAGACACAGTCGGAATTTCAGGTGCTGAAGAAAAACTCGAACGTGTGAAGAGTTAGCAAGTAACTGAGGACAGGGTGGCCAGGGAAGACCTCTTGGAAAAGGTGGCATTTGAGGAGAAACCCAAATAAAGAGGAGGAGTGAGCCACATGAGCATCTGGGGGAGAATGTCCTAGACAGAGGGGTGGGCTCGGCCAGCCAGGGATGAGCACACTGGCCAGTGGCTGCCACAGAGTGCAGGAGGTGACTAGTGGCAGGAGACCACATAGGCGGGCAGCCAGGGGACTGAGTAGACAGGAACTCATGGGTGAAGGAAATGGGCAGTGTTCTCAGTGTGTCACGAAGCCTGGAGCTGCAGTGGCACGATCCATGATTTCCACGGGCCACATCGGAAGGCCACGGGGGACCGGGAGCAGGAGAGCAACCAGGGGCGGCTGCAATGAGCAGGAGAGGGCAACACGCACCAGGTGGTTTTGGGGAGCGGTGAGAAATGGGCCCCTGTGAGACATACTTTGAAGGCGGTATTGACAGGGCTTGCTGGGCTTTGAAAAATGAGTAGGATTTTGATACATGGGGAGAGAGAAAGGTGGTCCAGACTGCACGAGAATAGTAGTAAGATTTCCACATACTCCTCAACCAGGTATGGCTCAGCATTAGGTAAGTCGAGCAGCTGCCTGGGTCCCCCACACTGTGGAGAGCGGCCCTGCGCCTCCTCTACCCTGGAGCAGCGCTGGGTACTGATGGATGCACTGGGCCCAGGGCATCCACCACACCGGGACACTGGGACGCTGCAGGGGTGGGGGGAGGTGGAGGGGGGGAGCACGACCCCCGTGACCACGAGGTGGCGCTCCAGGCTGGTTCTGAAGCTCTTTGGGTTTGCCAGAGGCACCCGAAACACAGCCCGCTTGTCATTCTGACTCTCTTCAGTCTGGTCAGTTTCTGTGCCGCCATCTCAATCTTTCTTTCATTAATCATACCATGGAAAATTCATGATCTTCATGCTGAAGACTTACAGCTCTAACAGCCAGGCCCTGGATGAGCAAGTGTGCGCTGCAGCTGCGCGCTACAGGGAGACGAGCCGCGACAGACCAGCCTGTGGGGCCCTGGAGCTGCAGGGTGCCTGCCTCCCCGCAGCTGGAGACACCCAGGCCCCCCGACCTCAGAGCCTGGACCCACCCAGGCCTGGGAATGTCCTCGGAGGACAGCTTTCTCCAGAAACCACTTCTCACTGAGCAAGAACCTGGTAGGGTCCCTCTGGTAGGGTCCCTCTGTGCCGCCTCCTCCATCTCCCTCCTGGGGAACGGCTGTGATGTCAAGGAGCTGCCATCTGGGAAAGCTCAGGAGCTCAGAAGCCTGGGAGCTGGTCCACATCCTTTGATCTGGTCTGCAAGCTCCCAGAGACCCACTGCTCGGAGGGCACAGCCGGTGCCCTGCCCCCACCTGCCTTACTCTCACTCCCTGCCCAGGGAAGACCTGCAGCCTCCAGGCGGGCAGTGCCTATAAGCGGCTTGTACCCCAGTCCTGGCGAGACTTCCTTTCAAAGATGCCTTGATTCCCCGCCATGTACAACTCCGGGCGTCACATCCCACATCTCCTGAGCAAGGGGCCCAGCCGTGCACATCTTCACAGAACACCCCACACCCCCAAGGTCTCCTGCTGAGATGAACCCTCGTTCCCATCTTCAGACAACCCAGCACTAACGGAGCCTGAATTTTACAGATGAGAAAACTAAAGGGTCCATAGAGGTCCCCAGTTGCACTGCCAAGCTGGGACAAGGCCCTGGTTTCTGGCTCTTGGTGCAGACTCCTTCTACACTACCCGCTCCCCAGGAGACCTGGGAGTGCTCACCCTGACCAACAGCACCAACACAAGCCTCCTGAGCCACTGGCCTCCCACCCAGATAGCGGCCCCCGCACCCTCCCCGCTCTGGCCTGTTTTTCAGCCCAGACTGCTCAGAGCTGCCTGAATCCTTTTTCTGAAATGCCTCTTTCATCATGCTGCTCCCCTGTGTGACCTTAAGACGCTTTAGCTCTCCAAGGCCCAATTTCCTTTAAAATGTGGGATTTGGACTAGATCATTTCTCAGGCCCCTTATAGGAGGGTCTTAACCGAGCCTGAGACATGTGGCTCACAGCCACCAGCCAAGACGTTCTCAGCCAGGAGCCATTCTGCTCCTTAGAGTACATGTGTCATGTCCTGGGGCACTTTGGGTTGTCACGACTTGCAGGGGAGCTGCTACTGGCCTCTACTCCTGCCCCTGGCTCCTACATGTGTCATGTCCTGGGGCATTTTGGGTTGTCACGACTTGCGGGGGAGCTGCTACTGGCCTCTACTCCTGCCCCTGGCTCCTCCCCATCTGGCTGTCAACTCCTGGAGAACACAGCCATTGGAGAAAGAACCTGGAGTGTTCCCTCCAGGGGTAGGACAGAGTAGTAAGGACAGTCCTGTCTCTGAAAGGGATGACTTGACAGGAGAGAAGTGCTGGGAGGTCTCCTGGAGAGCTGGCGAGGCTGCAGGAGCAGGTAGGAGCCTGAAGTCTGGTAGGTGGCAGTGGGCAGGACGGAGGAGCTGCCAGCAGAAGAGCCTAGGACAGCAGGGCCTGCCCTGGCCAGGTGGGAGGGCGAGAAGACAGGAAACTGACTTCTGAAGCAGAGCAGGAGACAGGGAGCAGGCGAGGCAGGAATGGGGTGGAGGGCAGGGGCCCCACATGGAGGGTGCCAATCACAGGAAAGAGGCAAGGCCTGTGGTGGCACAGCCAAAGCTCAGTGCCGGAGAGCTTAGCTGGTGGCACTCAGGAAAATTCCCTTCCAAAACCAGAGGGTTGTCTCAGCTAAGATGACTGAGCTATAATCTAGCCCAAGTCAGGAGAATCTGGGGTGAGGCAGGGTGACTCAGGGGATCAGGACCCAACCAATGTCAGTACTGACCAGCCGGAGGTCACCAGCCACCCCTGGTGTTGTCCAGGCCTGGTTGGTGCCCTTCTCCAAGCAGGGGCAGGCCAGGGACCATACTGAGTACTGAGCCTCCCCTGCCCCTCACCCTCACCCCCAACTGAGGGCATTTCAAAATAGCCTCAATTCAGGGCTTTGAATAAACCCAAATTTGGGATGTGCATTGCCCATGGCCTCTGTGAGGGCTGGGATGTGAGTCTGCTTTGTCCATGGTTAAATCCTCACAGCCCAGAACAGTGCCTCACCCGTGGCAATGCCTTTGGGTCTCCTACCAGGCTATGCTGTCCAGGCCCTGCACTGACCCTGCAGAAGGGAGCAGCCAAGGCCCCTTGGTCGTGTCAGGGTCTTCCTCCTTACCCGGGGCCCGTCCAACACATGCACAGCAGGTAAACTGAGGCCCAGTCAGGCTAT